ACCGGATCCAACTGTGAGAAGAGACTGGACCGCTGCAGCCACAAAACTTGTGCTAATGGTAAGTGTTTGTGTTGGACAATGCATCAACAAAATGTATTTTACTTTAAAGTGGTAGTTCACACAAAGGTAAAAATTCTGTCAATTTCTAACCCTCATGTTAGGTTTCTTTCCTTTGTGGAACACAAAAGGAGAGGTTTTAAAGAATGCTCACACTGCTCATTCAATGAAAGGGGTTGGTGAACACAGACACTCAAGCGCCAAAAAGGATTTTTAAAAAATCAGTGAAGTAGCACATATGACCCATACACTAAGTCTTCTAAAGGTTGTTTTATGTGAGGGGAAAAAACTGCAATTGAAGTACTGTAAAAAATCTTGCTTGACAGCTGTGGTCACCATTCACTTTGATTTGATAAAAAAAACAGCTTAATTTCCACTAAGCGGTTTCAGTTCTAAACATATTTTTACCCATCTACACACATGTACATGTGCTACTGTTACACTTCCTCTCTACTCCTGCTCATATGTAACCTCTTCTCTCTTCTGTTGTAGGCGGTGAGTGTGTGGATCTGGGCGCTAGTGCTCTGTGCCGCTGTTGCCCTGGTTTCACTGGCCCTCGCTGTGAGATGAACATCGATGACTGTGCCCGCTACCCGTGTCAAAATGCCGGTACATGCCAAGATGGCATTAACGATTACACCTGCACCTGTACACTAGGTTTCACCGGTAAAAACTGCAGCCTCCGAACAGACTCTTGTCTAACAAACCCATGCCTCCACGGGGGAACCTGCTACACACACTTCTCCGGGCCAGTGTGTCAGTGTGTGCCTGGGTTCATGGGTCCAAACTGCGAGTTTCCTGTGCAGGGAGGTATGGAGCTGATGGCGCCCCGGGTTGGACGGACCTCACCTTCAGCGGTGGCGGTGTCATGTGTGTTAGGTGTGCTGGCTGTGTTTTTGGGAGTGTGTGTGGGACTGGTCGTGATCAGGAGGAGAAGGCATAGACTGCGAAGACAGCAGCTATGCGATTCAGTATTTAATGATTTGGAGACCGTGAATAATTTCGACAGGCAGCACTATCCCTATGACAGAGACTACGGTCAGGTGAAACCCTGCAACACTGAGGGCAGAATTTCATTGGCAGCTTCTCACACACTGCCTGCTGGGCAGGACTTCCTGTGGAGTGCTGGAGGAGGTCTTAGATAAGGCAACACACACTTGTACACTCATGCATACACTAATGTAGACAAGCGAGCATAAACACAGATACACAAACTCACATGCAGGGATAAGAATTTGGATGAAGCACTTGCTTTTGTCTTAATTATTATGAATGAATGAATGAATGAAGTATGTAATGACTGATTAATGGATTGAACCTTTGCCATCTGTATAGGTGGAAGACTCTGTAAACCAAAAGAAATAAACAAGCACATCGTTGTGCTGGGCTTTGTGAATCTGTATATGTATATGAAGACAGACACAAGCCCTGAAAGCTGATACAGACTTAGGTTGCAGAACTCTATACACAGAGAACTGATATCTTTATACAAAGATAAAGAAGTGAAAATAACTCTATACAAAGAGAGCTAAGTAAGGAAATACCTCTATTGAAAGAGAAAGAAGTTAAACTGAAGAGCAGGATTAGGTGTTCTCTAGTCAAACTCTGGGCTTTGTATAGGACTTATTAAAACAACTTTTTTT